GTCGAATTTATCACGCGTTTATGTGTTTTAAGTTACGACTCTCGTTTGCTTTTCCTCCTTGTTACATTGGTCATAATTCGATTCAATTTACATCAGCATTTAAAATTAAAACATTTTGTCTCATGTTACGGAAATGTTTTAGATTTCGGGGGTTATGCATAGCATAAAATTAGGGTAGATTGACATAGGCTAGATTGATTGTGGGATTGTTCTGCTAATCATTTTCAGCAGTGTCTTTCTGGTGTTAACTGTTGCTTTATTTATTCCGTCTTCCTGGATTAGGGTATCTAAGGGATTGTAGATAAGATTTCAAGTCGCCTGGCCCGTGTAGACACATATCACACAATCATGCAGAGTGAATGATTGAGTTAACATTTATCGTCACATCGACATTATTTCAGCCATATCGTGACGAGAACAATTATCAGACCATGTACATTGGAATGTCCCGCACACTGCTTGCATAAAAAAATATCATTATGATAGTTATCTAAAAATAGTATTAGACAAGGAAATGTAGTTAGAAGTAAAGAATAATTAAATGATTGGGAACTATATTACCTACAGTCACTGTCAGACTGACAAAACACCGACTTCCTGTATAATATATATTTTTTGCACCTATTTCAGGACAACTTTCAACATTCAGGTAACATTCTTGGGTGATGACACCACAAAATTGTAGGACATTTAGGAATATACAGAGAGTTTATCACGTTTGGCACGAGGCTGCTCAAGCTGTATAGGTCTTATCAGAAGGGCTAGACATATTATCACTGACGAAGGTTGCTATTGTCAGCTGTAGAGAAGTCACCTGTCATCGCATAACCTACAGGTTGGTAACAGTATAATAAAGCTTGGCAACTATAAGTAGTGGAATCTGCAAGGTCAACTGCCAAGTCCATATTCTCCAACACGTTCCTTAAACTGGACTTGTCGTTTCACCGACGGCGTCTGTATTGACCCGTGACCCTGATGTATAGATCACCCGTTTTGACATTCAAATGTCAATTGTGACCTCATGGATCCATCATGAACCAAAATGGAATTGGGCAAAAAATCTCTGGAGGGAACTTCGCATCATGAGCTAGCATGTGACCAACTGCAGTATAACTTTGTCACCTTATTTTCTCCCTATTTCTGCATAAGTACTTATTCCACGAAAACTTTAAACCACAATCAGAAAAGCATTTTTATCCTAAGGTTATGTTGTTGGGATTGTGGTCAACTCTTGTGCACTTATTAAATCCGAGAATATTACACTTCATTCCTATAGTTCCTGATTACCTCACACATAAGAGAGCACTCATAAAACAATAAATAAACAATAAACAAGGCGTTCAATTGAAAGTGTGTGATCAACAGTCAGAATAATGTCTCATTACAGACGTTAGCATATCTGCGCATATTCACACATGTTGCCATGTTTTTAAAAATAACGCGCAATCCACAATATCAATGGGGATGTTGTTATAACGCCCACGTGTCAGCAGGTACTCCCCCAACGACTTATAGTCAGCGGTCACCTCCACTTTATTCAAATTCGATGAGGTCATTGAAACCGTATATATACGAGTGGAATATTGAAAAATACATTCCAGTGGTCGGTTTGCTGTGAGAGTGTCTCTTGGGTAAGTAGAACTTATTTTGTTTCATTATTTGACTCTTCTGCATTTTTGTGTGTGTGTTGCATCGTACAGATAAAATGCTATGACGTCATCGAATCCCAAATTACGTGGGTCCATGTTCATGATATTAATCACTTAAACCGAAACCTACAACTTAGATAAGGGAGCTGTGGCAAACGGTTACATTTCAAACGAAACGAATATATGTGAAATCTTATGCATTGGTGACATTTGCGTGCACGGCATCAATGTGTCATCCTATGCGTCAGCACATTGATAATCAACTTTGGGCTTCTGTCATGTTTTCTAAAGGAATAGGAGTTCACTCTCGAATTCCATGAGCGATCGTCCGAGAACAGTGTTTTGTAACGTCCTAATGATCGTTTCAGGTACGTTAATGTCGTACAGCACAATGGCTTTAGTGGCTGGTTCATAGTGCCATGGGGTGGTGCCTCAGTTACTGGGCGAACTGTGCTCCGTAGAGTCAATGCTATCGACACATCGTCACTGCAACAACCATTTGTTGGGTAACGTGTCGTGTTCTGATGATGATGCACGTTTTCATCATGCCAGGATTGTGATCCGGCTACTCCAAGTGCAAAACGTCCAAGGCCACCAGTCAGCCCTGATCTGGTCAGTCCTGAGCAGGGGCGGTGGGGTAGCCTAGTGGTTAAAGCGTTGGCTCGTCACGCCAAAGATCCGGGTTCGAATCCCCACATGGGTACAATGTGTGAAGCCCATTTCTGGTGTCCCCCGCCGTGATGTTGCTGGAATATTGCTAAAAGCGGCGTAAAACCAAACTCAGTCAGTCAGTCAGTCAGTCAGTCAGTCCTGAGCACGTCTGGGACGTCATTGACAGACGTGTTCGTCAGCGTCAACATCCACCCAACCACTCTCAATGTACCCGAGAAGATCCGGGTTAGCATTGGTCTTCGGCAACCTACCCTTGTCGTATGAGACTACTAACGGTATCGCGTGGTCATGCTGGCTGACTTGGTTGACTACATGTTATCGTATCCCAATTGCGTAGATCGATGCTCATGATGTTGATCTCTTCACGATTCTTTACATACCGGCGCCATATAGCTGGAATATTGATAAGTGCGGCGTTAAACAACCAACAAACACTCTTAATGATCTTGGTGCTACTCTCGCTGATGGGGAGAACAAAACGAATCAGATTGAATTTGGCCCATTCATCAGAAGACTAGCTTTGTGATTTTAGTTCTGAGTATCATTTGTTGGATAGAAATGATGAAAAGAAATATTTATTGGCATTCCAACTCTAACTGATTATCTTATGTGAAGGACCGACCGACACGATGATACATTTTTTCTTAAAAAGAAAAGCGGCATTGAACACATGTTTTGTGCCATACATTTCAGAGAAGCCAAAAGAACAGTCACTATGAAGACCCAGACGCTTATGATGATGGCAGTAGTGCTAGTATTTGCCTGTTTGTGGCAAATGGGTGACGCCACGCCAGGTGAGTTCAAAGTGTTGTTTATACATCTCCCGTGAAACGGAAAAGAAATGATCCGTAGGTTAATGCTGATATGATTATGCAACTGATGTCAAAAAAGTTTTTTTATAAATATTTTATCCAAGTAATACTTCTTAAACACTCAATCGCTGTCAATATAAATGGTTGACACCGCTAGGACGAAAACTTGGGAGGGGGAGGAGAAGGGGGAGTCCGTTTACGGGGTTTGGACCGAAAGACGACGGAAAATAAATTAAAATGGATTAACTGGTGGGCGTCTAGAAAGTGTCTGATAAAGCGTCGTGTTTCTCAAGCGTTAAGAGGATGGACTAACGAGGTGTTTTTCTCCACCTTTTCCAAGTAGTAATGGACAATCACACAGTCCCTGAAGCAGGTAATGCCCATAACTTCACTCAGTGTGCAGTAGGTTTCGATAAGCTGACTATTAAATACTGCGCTTTTAATAGTAAATGTGTAATAGCTGTGTAATATGTAACAAAACATATAGTATGACCAGAAATTATTGAGAATTTTAGGAATATGTTTCATTGGATTTCTAGTATAAACAACCTTGACCAGCTATCAAATGCTTGGTTTCATTCAAGAGAGACAACTCCGTTAATCCTTTTTCATTAGTTTGTGAAGAGTTATCCCCCTTTGTTTACTTGCTAGCAGACGACATTTTCAGTGATCCTCAGTATGGATGATTTAGAAGAGGAAGTTGATTTTAGAGTATTATAACAAGGACATCAGATCAGCTAAAGTGATTTCAAGTAAGAACAGGCATCCCTTTGTCCACTGTTTATCGTGTTTTGAAAAATATTGCAAATGGATATGGCATTGAGCACCAGGGAGGCGCAGGTAGGCCCAGAAAATTGACTGTCGGTGACAGGAGGCGGCTTGGTATTCTTGTTTCTAAAAACAAACGAAGGAGTTTAGAAACTTAAGGCTGGATATGATTGATAGAGGAACTGTGGCTGTCTGTAAGGAGACAATTAGAACTGAGCTGCATGCAATGGGTTGGCAGAAAAGTCGAGGAATTCCATCACCGATCATGAAACCTGAACAAAAGGAGCGAAGGTTGAACTGGTGCTTACAGCATAGAAATTTTAACTGGGACAATGTGATTTTCTCAGATGAAAGTTCTGTGTGGCTGTTTCCTAATACACTGAAATTCTGGACCAAACAAACTGAAAAACCTTTGTATCAGCGCCAAAAATACAGTCCATAATTTAACGTGTGGGGTGGCATAGCTGTGTGAGGGACAACGCCCCTCTGTGTATTTGAAGGGAATATGAATAGTGAGTGGTACACAGATATTCTCGAGGGACATTTACTTCCATCTGCTCACGTGTTCTGTAGAAATGTTTGGATTTTCCAGCAGGACAACGACCCAAAACATCGTTCAAAGCATTCACAGGCCTGGTTTCGGACCCAAAATATGACATTATTAGATTGGCCAAGCTATAGCCCTGACCTAAATCCAATAGAAAATGTTTGGGGACTTATGAAGGAAAGTGTCAATAAGAAAAATCTGACAAATATTGCTGAAATGAAAGAAGAGGTGGTCCGATATTGGGACAGCATGGACCACGACTTTCTAACTTCTTTGATCAGTAGTATGCCCCGCCGCATTGAAGCCTGCATTGCTGCCCATGGTGACTTGACAAAATACTAACTGTTCACTTGTCTTTGAATCTGGAGTTATGTTCTGCTATAATATTCACATTTAATACGTGAGTAATGAGCGAAAGAAATAAAAATTACAATCTTAAAATTCTCAATAATTTCTGGTTGTACTGTATAACGGTATCGGGTGGTCATGCTGGCTGACTTGGTTGACTACATGTTATCGTATCCCAATTGCGTAGATCGATGCTCATGATGTTGATTCTTTACATACCGGCGCCATATAGCTGGAATATTGATGAGTACGGCGTTAAACAACCAACAAACACTCTTAATGATCTTGGTGCTACAAAACGAATCAGACTGAATTTGGCCCATTCATCAGAAGTCTAGCTTTGTGATTTTCAAGTATCACTTGTTGGATAGATTTATGAAACTGATTTATGAGATTTCTAACTGATTATCTTATGTGAAGGACCGAGACGATGATATATTTTTCCTTAAAAAAGAAAAACAGCATTGAACACATGTTTTGTTTCATACATTTCAGAAAAGCAAAAAGAACAGTCACTATGAGGACCCAGACGCTTATGATGATGGCGATAGTGCTAGTATGTGCCTGTTTGTGGCAAATGGGTGACGCTGCGCCAGGTGAGTTCAAAGTGTTGTTTTTACATCTCCAGTGAAACGGAAAAAACATGATCCGTCGGTTAATGCTGATACGATTGTGCAACTGATGTCAAAAAAGTTTTTTAAAAATATTTTATCCAAGTAATACTTCTTAAACACTTAAGCGCTGTCAAGATAAATAGTTGACACCGCTAGGACGAAAACTTGGGAGGGGGAGGAGAAGGGGGAGTCCGTTTACGGGGGTTTGGACCGAAAGACGACTGAAAATAAATTAAATTGGATTAACTGGTGGGCGTCTAGAAAGTGTCTGATAAAGCGTCGTGTTTCTCAAGCGTTAAGAGGATGGACTAACGAGGTGCTTTTCTCCACCTTGTACAAGAGTAATGGACAATCACACAGTCCCTGAAGCAGGTAATGCCCATAGCTTCACTCAGTGTGCAGTAGGTTTCGATAAGCTGACTATTAAATACTGCGCTTTTTAATAGTAAATGTGTAATAGCTGTGTAATATGTAACAAAACAGTACTGTATTCTCCTTCCGATAAACACATCCCCCTATTTTCTGTTTAATCATATATAATTATTTTGTATTAGGGTTTTCGTCGACGCATGATGATGCAAATGGAAGTTACTGCGTCAAATTATTGCGATGGTATCCATTGTCAGTTTGTCAATATGCATTGTGGTATATGAGCGTGTATCGGGATTTAGTGCGGTTCAAGGCAGTGATCCGTTAATCGTCGGATGCATTTCATGTGAGGTTTGTAATAATAATGAGGTGTTGGATCCAACAGGGCAATAACCACCACAAAGTACAAAGTCACTAAGTTACACACCTGAAAATTGCTAATTCTTCAGAGAAGAATGGCAAAGTGATCAATATGGTGTCAACATCGACAGATTCATATTCACGTTTCACACCGCATTACTGTTGCAAAGTGACCACCTTAAAATCGTATAAACATTTAAGTGCAGAGTTAAGAAACACAGACACCTTTTCAAACTGTAGCCATTTCAAACAGGGACTATGAACGTATGAACGAATGTTCAGTATCCCATGAAGATCCATAATGGGATCGGGTGGTCAGGCTTGCTGACGTAATGCACGATGATTTCAGGTGCAATCACTCACTCAATGAGTATATGGAAGATATGTACGATTAAACAAGACAAACCTTTTCTCTTTGTCTGATACTGATGTTATGTGAATGCATCTATTTTACTGACAACGTCACCTTGTCATCAGCGCAATATCCTAATTTTGGCAGTCGTTTTCCGAGTTCTGTAATACCATATCTTTGGTGGTCTGATCTATGAGGGCGAAAGCCATTGTGTTTACTTGGCAATAACGGATTTTGGATATTGGTGTTCTGCATACGTCAGTGGGTCGCCTTTGTTTCGTGGTTATGAAATATTTTCTCATTTTCTCACAGGCACTTCACCTGCACCAGCAGCAACACCTGGCCAATCTGCTGGCGGTGGTGATCCCGATGATGGTGATGGTTATGACGGCGATGGTATTGACGGTGATGGTGATGATGATGACGACGCCGGCGATGGCGATGACGGTGATGATGATGGCGATGGTTATGACGGCGATGGTATTGACGGTGATGGTGATGATGATGACGACGTCGGAAATGGTGATGACGGTGATGAGTAGAGATAAAATTCAACGGACATCACTGCTATAAAACGTGGCGGACTCAGGTTTCATGTTGACCGGCTTCCGTCAACATAACATCGTCGTTCATGGAGATTTTATTAAATCTGAAGGACATAAGTAGACCATCTGATCTGTTATTTGTGAAAAAGCGTGTACTTTTCACACAGTGTCTATTTCGACTGTTTACAAAGATTTTGTTTGTTCAAAATTGTATCCTCACTGACACACACTGTCTCTTCGTCATTGTCGTCAAATGAAATAAACACCTGACCGTGTTGTTTGTTTAGTCCACTTTGTTTCATAAGCAGGCTTATCTGAAATTTGTAATGAGCGGGTGAACTCGAATGGGTAAGTGACTATGGGTTTTCACCACTGTTGGCAATATTCCTGCAATGTCTCAAATATGTGAAACCTTATACGTGTATACTCTTAAAAGAAAGTAGTGGAGCCTAAACTTTCAATCTGGATAGGAAGTGTAAACATCAACAAACTTTATAAAGGCAGACATCTTATGAACGCACCACCATTTCTCTTTATCACTACCCCTAAACACAACGCATTGGATGCACGTGCACAGCGCTGTAACCCCACGTGCAAGGGGTGTCTTTCTTGACTTTGACGTTTTTCGAGGAGGTCGATAAATCAATGTAGACCATTAATTTTGACAATCATCTTGCATCCCACAGTTGTGTAGTGTTTGTTTCTAGCCGGTTTAATTCAGTTTGAAAATGAGAATCGTACACATGCAAATTTCACGTCATACACTGATCATCTTTCAAGAGCGATTACTGTACAAACAACTATGGTCATAAGGAAGTGCAAGTGGTGATGCACTCTCAAAACATTCATTATTATCATATGAACATTGATTGACTCCGATATGTCTCTCAATTATTTCAATCGTAAATTAGAAATGAAGTTCCCCTATGTTTTTAGCAGAGTATATCATGGAAAATGACAACATTCACTTCAGAACTAGTCAACATCCACCTAGGAAACGTCAGTATTTGATTTTGAATCAAATTATGAAATAAAGATTACTCATTGAATTTACCGACAATGCAGCCGTGATTTTCGAGTTGATCTTCTTTCCTATGCCTGTTGATTACTACTGAACATAATATTCCAGCTAACACTAGTCTTTACCTATTAGAGTCTGGACCAGACAATCCAATGATTGATGTGGTGAGCGACGATGCGGGGTCATGATCAACCGAATAGCCGAGGCTGACCAGCGGTTCCATTTCGCCGCCTCCTACGACAAGCTGACACGCCAACGCAAATGTCATTTGCAGTATATTTATATAGTATTACTTATGTTTTGCTTAACAGAGCTATCCGTTGGTATTGTGAGACTAATCCCCATGGGAGAAAGTAGTTTCCGTCACGTTTTGTAGTATGACAAATTTATGTTCCTAAAAGTTATAACATGATCAATGATTAACTTGTCAGTGCGTTTCGCTATTAATCTCTCAAGTTTGTTCATAATACCTGCAATTCCAAAGATACAAACATACAAAAGGCTGTGAAAATAATAACATACACGAACAGACCTGAGAAATATTAGATTATTTAACCAAATATCAACTACATATAACAAGACAAATATATGCTTTAAGGATAAGAGATAAGCTTGCTTCTCGGTGCTACTGTAAAACACCTCTTCACACTTGCATACATGCCTCGCTATCCCTATTCCGTTCATTACTTGCTTGATAACGGCGTTAGAATCTACACCGAATCATCCCTCCCACTGTGATAAAGAATTGTTTGTCCGTATCTTGTTGTCCTTCCTTAAGGACATTTGGTAATAAATAAAGGGTTTTCAGGAGGCTGCTCGCGATATATACGTTTCTTATTATTTGAATTACCTGCCTTGATATACCACTGACAAAAAAGAAGGGAACTTATGAAATGACAGTGAATGAGTAATTGCTCTAAATATGCACAAAATCAATTTCGGGCGTGAAGTTCAATATTTGGTGTGTCCACTATGTCCAACTTGGCACAGTGGTGTTCACCCCTCTATCGTACCCATAATTCTCCATGTTGTCTGTTCAGTGAGGTAGTGCCTCAGAGGCACTTTTCAGCGTGTGTTCGCCTCAATTGCATTAGTGATTGTTAGTTCTCCAATAGGTGAACACACTTTAGCTTCTGTGTGCATGTGCATCACGTGTTGTTCGTGCATCATGTGGAATTTAATTGTGATTGGATGTTGCATTCAGCTGCAACGCCACGGTATTGCACACGTCCACCTCAGTGTTAACTGCATTCAAATTCTTAGTTCCCGTATTTTTTTGTCGGTAGTATATAACTAAGTCTGTTATTGTCAATGATAGCAATGTCATCTGTCACCACATGACCTAGAAGCAGTGATGGTCATTTCGATTTTGATATATATTGCAGAGAAAATATCAATTTCTCAATCGATGTATAATACCTTCTCGGAAAACAACAATGACAAAGGCACTGATATTCTTACTACAAACATAACCGCTCTTACTACAGGGCGAATTTTGTTCTTACAAGGAGTGAAACGCATTTTAAAAAAAACTTATCTCTCAATAATATTAGTATTCGTATTTTGGAAAATATTATAGATCCGGACAAGCAGAAGATTTCATTCATTTATAACACTCTCTGCTGATCACAGTCGGTGGCTTCATAATGTTGGAACAATGCAGTTGACTACATCCGACTTGGTAGTGTTCATTTGGGTGAGGTCAATATTTTAGTACTGACGTTGCATTGTTGACGTTCATCAGCTGATGAAGATATTGATTCACGTGAGCCAGTTCCACGATGCGCTAACTATTGTCAATTCATTAACTCTTTGCTTGAAGGACAACGTAGTCATGCGGCATACTGAAATCGGGAAATGAACGACAGTTGGTCTATTTGTATCCATCTAGACGAGGTCAGCCACTACTGTCAATGTGTGTATGCGATGTCAAGGTTTTCCGCGCAAAATCTAATTCTAAAAACATCTAACTCGACTGCCAACGTCTATACCAACGTTTGTGCGTGGATAGCTGATAGTGATTAAGTGTAACTTGACAATTCCCTCTCTGAGGTACGCCATATTTCACAGACCAGGTGATACACTGTGCTGTCTATAATAGCATTTGGAATGACCCACAACCCATCATGAGACTGACTATGTATATATTCATTAACCATTCTCACAAGTTCACAAATATGTTGAATCTGTAAAAGGATCTAGGTCAAAATTGATCTTCAGCAACCCATGTATGGAACTAATGTGACCGGGTGGTCGTTCTCACTAACTTGCTTGATGTGTACATTCCCACTTGCGAAGATCGATGCTCATAGTATCATGACCATGTAATGTGTAGCTCTTCTGTGTATATCATTGAATATTACTTAAAAGGAAGCCTGCATATTTTTTAACGTTATAGTAGAAGCAACATGTTTATATAAATATTATCTAGGAATATCTTTGAGTTGTCCATAAAAGTAGGGACTTAATGCTTTGAATTTAAAGCAATACGTTTCTGTCGTAATAGATTTTTATCAAATATTCCTCTGTGATAAAGTTGGAAATAACTACAGACTAAGTCGTCCCCGTGGACCTTCTTCAGCTTCATATTTGTGCATGTAAAAGTCCATGTACAGGGCGTGTAGCTGTTAGAGGGGGAACATGTTATGTACTTCAGCATGTGGATGTGGACCTGAAACATGTTCCCGTGATCTTGACATTGATGACATTGACTAACATGTCAACTTGAAATACACAATGACTATTTAGAACAATTAATGCGAATTGATAGGAAGGTAATGTTGTTTGCATTATGATGACATGGCTGACTCCTCATTCTTTGATGAGCAAAGAAAGACATCTGGAAAAATAGAATTATACATTTAAGAGCTTTTTGTTATGTTGTGTGATTTGATCTTACCAAAATATATTATAGTCCACAATTTTAAATCATGACCTGAGCATTCCAAAACTACTATTTTTATGAAAATAGTCAATCCAAACCACAGTTATTAAATTACACCATCCAGTTATCGGCTAAAATATTACCATTACTGAAATGATATGTTGCACCTTAAAAGGGCCCCTGCACAGGTAGTCACGGACGGTAGCTTATGACAACCGGCTTTAAATCAAAGCAAAGTCATTCCTGATTAAAAAAATCGCATCCCATTCGGTCGCCATAACTGCATCCCATTTTCACCATTTTGGGGGTCTGACTTTTAGACCAGTACCACGCTGGATTTTAAAGCCAATTTGTTTACTTGGCAAAAACGGATATTTGATATAAGTGTTCTGCATACGTCAAATGGTCGCCTTTGTATCGTGGTTATGAAATATTTTCTCATTTTCTCACATGCACTTCACCTGCACCTACAACAACACCTGGTCAACCTGCTGAATGTGGTGATGCCGATGACGGTGATGGTATTGACGGTGATGATGCTGATGATGATGACGGCTATGGTTACGACCGTGATGATGACGGCGATGTTAATGACGATGATGCGTTTCTTATTATTTGAATTACCCGCCTTGATATAACTGACCAAGGTTGTTATTATCAATGATAGCGAAGTCACCTGTCGTTACATGGCCTACAAGCAGTGATGGTCATTTCGACATTGATGTATATTGCAGAGAAAATGCCATTTTCACAATCGACATATGCCTTTTCGGAAAACAACACTGAACATAGGACAGATATTCTTGCTACAAAAACGTATTTTGTGAACAATGGAATGCATAGTTGTACATGTAATGAATATACGATAACATATTGCAAGGCATGTCAAACTATCCTATGAAATATGCTACATTATAGAAATATAAACTATTTTCATGGAAATGTATCTTCATCCAAGGGCTATGCAGTTAGGTTTATGTTCAATTCTGCTGCGGTTTTTAAATCAGAGTGAGTTATAATTAATTCATATAGTCCCATGGATCTAAAATAAAAGATGTCACTCATAAAATATTCGTGTTTCAAATACTGAACAACAGTCGGAGTAAATGTCTCATTGCAAACATTCCCCTTTCATGTTGTCAGCAATGTCTCTAAGCTTAATCATATGTGATACCACGGTCTTGCACAGATCAATGCACCAATCACAATTACTATCGGGATGCTGTTACGACGCCACATATCAGCACATATGTACTCCGACCTCTTAATCGTCAGAGGTCACCTTCACAAAAACACGTTATTCGGATGCACAGAGGTCGTAACAACAGGTATATACACACATATATACGTGTGAGGGTTTCTTTACCTGCAAGAGTTTTGTCTAGCGTAAGTTGAACTTATTTTGTTTTATTACTGACTCTTGTTTGATTTGGTGTTTTCTGGGGGGTCTGTAATCTTTCACATTTTTCTTATCATTTTAACTGTTTATCGTACAGATTAAATGAATTATCGCGGCTGTTAATTTCTGTACGGATTGTGTGGTTCTGTGTAAATGTATTTATGTAGGGCATTATGCGGTCGTTTAGTTTTAATGTTAATTAATTCTCTCATCATATGGAGGAAACCTGTTCTATTGGCCTAATGTGCATGAACAATATCTTTATGTTTTCAGTTATTTTAGAAAAAACATATCAGATGCTTCAATTCATAACCAATCGCATGTGGTTTTTATCCTCTGTGAACTTCGATTACACACTCATCCTTTATGATACTAAAGGTAAATCTTATCACATTTATATTACTGCATGTAACCAAGGCAAAGGGAAGTTTTATGATTATACTCCAAATGTGCTTCTGCAGTATAAGATAAATAGTTGTTATGTTGCATATCAGTTCATCATAATTATGTATATACTTGTACTACGTTTGTATATTACGACAATCGAGGGAAAATAGCTGTTGATATGTTGGTTTCAGTTTTTACCAAAGGTTTTGTGATTCATATCTAAAATAATAGTTGCTTTAAAGCTCAATGAGAAACATCCAGAGCACAAATGCGCCTGTACTGTATGAGATCCACCTCGCCACCATCTCATTTCACCAACCATTAGACCTAGTATCTCCCATCACCTAGATCTGATAAGCTCCTTTCTATTTGATAACACCATGTGGATCAGAAGATACCTTTGATTTTGGACATGGTATGGTACCTATGAATTTACCTATGAAGTTTTAAAACGAATAGAAGTTTTTTTGGGACAGACCCATGAAAATTGTAACTCAAACGGACCATCGGTTGCGGAGGAGTCCGAGACAATGTTGCATTTCTTTATAAAAAACAACATTGAACATATGTTGTTGTTTTCCATACATTACAGAAAGGCATAAAGAACAGTCACTATGAGGACCCAGACAATTATGATCATGGCGGTAGTGCTAGTATTTGCCTGCTTGTGGCAAATTGGTGACGCCCGGCCAGGTGAGTTCAACTTAATTGTGTACATGTCTGACGAAACGTGTTCATATGTGAATTGAAGAAATACATGCCGTCGGTCGATGCATGTTTGACTATGCAACTGATTCCGAGAAGGCCATGAGATATTTGTCATTTGATTCGAGAATGACTCCGTTTTCATTTGACTACCACAACAACAAGACGATATTGCTTCTAAAAGGACGTTTAAGTTTGTACCTATGCTTGCAAAAACGTGTAGACTATATAATACAGAAAATGAATTTGTTTCTACGTCAAGGCTTTTCCACTTTGTGTTATACTGATGGCAAATGAAACGTGTTTGGTGCGCTGCTGGGAACCTGTTAACATCCGCTTGTCGTCATGATAACGTCACATTTTCTGGTTGCTCGAGTTTTGTAAGTCATTATCTTTGGTGCTCTGATCTATGAGGGCGGGCTACCACCCTGTATGGTAAAGTCATATCGTTTACTTGTCTGTAACGGGTTTTAATTAAATAGGCCTGTCCCATATGTCAGTTGGTCGCCTTTCTGTCACGGTTATGGAATATATTCTCAGTAAATATAAACTTTTCAGCCAAGAAGTCACGTGCTTCTGAGCCAGCTGTAGGAGAATCTCCTCAACCACTTGCTATCGTAGGTGGTGATGTCGATGGTGATGGTGGTGATGACGGTGATGATATGAAGTTGAAGATAACGCTGTTGATACATAAAGATCAATGGAAAGCAGTGGCTTAAAACGTGGCGGACTCAGGTTTTATATTGACTGGCTTCCCTTAAAAACAACATTGTCGTTCAAGGTGACTTGACTTAATTTGAAGGACATTAGTAAACGCGATAAAGCTCACGTGAGCTGTTATTTATGAGCAGCGTATACTTAGCACAACACTGTCTATTTCTACTGTTTACAAAGGCATATGTCTGTTTGTTTCGAAATCTATCCTCACTAACACACACTGTCTTTTCGTCGTTGTGGTTGAATGACAATAAATACCTGACCGTCTTCTTAGTTTTCTTCACTTTGTTTAATGAACAGATTTACGTGTACTATTAAATGAGCAGGTTCACATGAAAAGGTGAGTAGGTATGGTTTCAGTGAATGATTGCGGTTTTACGCCGCTTGCAAACAGAAAAGGGTGTCACATATTGTTCCCTTGACGTGACCAGCGAGCGCGTCCACCACAAAGCTACACCTCCGCCCTTACCTAAAAGAAGATGCTGGATTCAAATATTACAAACCTTAATCATAAATAAGGACCAATAATGAAGACTAATAGTAAAAACCACAGACAAAATGACAAACTTCATTTCAAGACTAGTCACTTCCCACTCGAAAAAAGTCAATGTACGATATCAAAAAAATGTAAACAGGAAATTTAGATTATGCAATGAATTTAAACAGGCTGTCTAACACCTTATCAAAGGATGACCAGCGTTTGGACAAACTCTGTACCTTTACCCCGTGGATGCCGATGTTTTTGTACTATCTAACAGGGCGTTCGTGTTTCGGCGGTTCCAAAATATCCCAACCGATTCTAGGTTTATCGGCAACGTTTCACAATTGCCTTTGGTGATTTCATGAAACACAGATATCAGTGATCACAAATATGTTGTTTTTGAACTACAATCTTCGATTAATTATTTGATTGTTTAATTTCAAAACATACGCCAAATATGGCTGTGAAGCGCGAGTTCGTAATATGTCAAAAATGGCGACATTTACGATGTACCTTATTTTGGAAGGTCATTTTCAGCACTTTTGCTTTGTCTAAGATGACAGTGGATGGTATCGAGAAACATGAAACTTTCCGCAGAGTTCACAAATGTGACGTGTATTTGTGTGCGTTATATATTTAGAATTTTATTGGACTTAAAATGGAGGTTTCAAGAAGAAGGGCATATATGTCCCTCTGACATCTAGGGGCTTAAGCCACTTAATGATATGACGTCTTCGTCAGACTTGGAGTTCTATTCTACGACAAAAAATATATTGAAAAAAAACCTGTCTGGATTCTGCCTGTACACAGACTCAGGCGTATTCGGGCCAGCAAACCGTATCTTGTCATTTTTTATACATCCAATGAAATCGTTTAAACCATTGATTTGGTCATTACATATGTTAGAAAGTGTGTGACTATTTTGCGCGGTATGAGCTTTTGCTTTGGGGCGGAAGAGTGACCTCCCTTGAGAGATGGGGGTGAAGCTCAGAAAAAAACACGGACAAGAATACATGGGACAAGAACACATGCGCGGCTGGCTCGGTGCTGAACCTCAAAGGTATCACGGATTTCTAAGTTGGATGTTTGCACATGAAAAACAAAACGAAATATATCACACTGTATTTCCTGCAAATAAACTCCCGAAATAATTCTGTTTGTTCTTTCACGAAAAACAGTTTTTCCACGTAGGCATTATCCGAAGTGATTCAAATCGCGCATTCAAAATGGCGACCAGCAAGTCGGATGTTGTTGCGAGTGATGCAGTGTATGAAACAAGACAATTATAGTTGAAAAAATCATTCAGAATTTAAAGTATGTGAGGCGCCGTTGTGCTGCTCGTTTGACAACTTTAGTGAACTCTGCCAAACTGCACATTGAGAATAAGTGTGGCGCTCCCATGTTAGTGAAGGCTAAAGAAGAAATTGACCATGCTTTGAATTTCCCTTGAAATTTCTCATGATAGATATGTGATGTCTCCACATGCAAAGGAGGATATTTTTATTTTCAGTGGTTGTTAACTGGTATGCGGACAGGAAATTACTTGCTTGTCAGTGTTTACAGCAGATAGATAATTACCTTCACCATGACACAGAAACTGCTACTACTTGTTCATCAAAATCATCACAAGCACACAAGTCAGACCTAAGTAAGAAAGCACAACAACCAAAACATGATATTCTGATGACAATTACTGATCAGAAGCTGATGTGCATAAACATTCTTGTCAACATGGTAGGTCTAGGACACAACACGGAACCACCACAGAGACATGACAGAAACTAAAGCTGCAAGTGGAGCAAGCTAAACTCACAGTACAACATACCCGACAAGCGGCGGAATTTGAAACTCAGCGTACTAGACAGAAAATCAGACATGACACAGAAAAAGCAGACCTTGAGGTAAAGGTATTGCAGGATAAGCTTGAATCAACAAGTTGTCATACTGGATCAAGTGTGGAATCTTCAAATAAACCTCAGTATGTGAGACAGTGGCTTAATACTGTTGACAATCAAAACAGTTTTCAGAAATTGGACACTGACATAAATGGTAGTGTGAGTGAAATACACACAGGTCATGTGATTCAGGTGATGTCAAGTAATTTTGTGTTACCAACAGAATCATGCATTCCAGGTTCTCAGCCTGCTGTATCTGTGACACAACTTGTAACACATGATACTCATTCTACTGGCAGGCAACACCATGAGATTTCAGGTCATGTCCTTCCCCAATGTTATCTCAAGTTAATTCTACTACAACAGGACAAGCCCTTACAAGTTTCCTGAACCCACTAGCACCAGGCTTATCTGGTCATGTGCAATTTACACTGCCACCAACATTATCAAATACAGATGCTAGAACAGTAGATAGCGGTGTACCCCCAAAAGCAGTGTCTAACAGCCCTCGAAATGTTAGACCCAGGTATTCTCAGTATTATCAAGAGGATGAACCAGTTGATGCATGGGTAGGTAAACTCATTCCAGGACAGGAGACTAATCTTGTTACTCAGCAGGGAATATCTCATTCTGATCAGTTGACACAAACTCTTATAAATGTTGAAAGTGAGCCTGACTTACCAAAGGTAGATTTGCCGGTGTTCAATGGTGCAGCATTAGCATGGCCTTGCTTAGTTGAAAAATTGTATTCTCAAGTAAATTGCATATCTGGCATATCTGATACAAGGAGGATGGATTTATTACAATCTCATTTTAGGAGTGAAGCATCTCATCATGTGCAGGGTCTCGGTTACAGTGGTAAGAGCTGTGCCTTACTGTTGCAGAGTTGAAGAATGCTTTTGGTCACAGAGTGAGAATTGCTTGTGCTTTCTTGGACAAAGTGGTAACAGGACCTGTAATTTCAGCTTGTGATTCTGCTGCCCTTCGACATTTCATGTGAGCATCAGAGATTTTATTAAACTCTACAGCAACTCAAGTACACGTCTGACTTAGAAAGTTGTGATATTCTGCTAAAAGCTGCAAGGTCACGCGGTGGAATGAATATATGAAATCAGTTATGAAAACAGGGGAACCGACATTGATTGATATTCAGCAGTGGCTGAGAGATCGTGTAGATGCTGACTTTATTTTCACAAACTCAACAGGAGAGTGAGTGAGTGGGAGGAAGAGGAACTGTATGCAGCAGTAAGTCGACAAACATCACCAAAACAGTCAAGGCCCATATTTGGACGTGAAACTGAAGCACAGTCAGGCAAACATTCAAGGTTAAGCAGGAATTTCCAACTCATAATCGGCCATGGATTCAAACACAGACTGAAACACAAATAAAAATGCCATGTGCTCTGTGTAGCGATACGCTCTATTTGTATAGATGTTCACTCTGTGCAAACAGGACTGTTGATGAAATGTCGACAATTAGTAAGGGATAAGAAATTGTGTTACAATTGCCACAAACCCAATCATATTGCACCAGAATATATTTCATCTGTGCACTGTAGAGAAACAGGATGTGGTCAGCGACACCACACATCTCTTCATGTGAACTCCGAAAACACACATGGGACAAATCACAACATATAGTCATCACCTGATGCAACTCGGGCGTATTTCCAGTTGGTTCCAATCTTTGCCTTTGGTTCGAATGGAAGGTTTATTCGGACAGATGCACTGCTTGACTCTGGAAGTGACATATCACTCATCCGTGAAATTTTGCCAAGGATCTTGGTCTTCAAGGAAGTAAACATTCTCTGACTGTAAACACTCTGACTGTGACCGCCTCCGTGGTGTAGTGGTTAGAGCGTCCGCCCGGAGAGCAGAAG